CAGGCCGGGCGTGGTGGCTCACGCTATAATCCCAACACTTAGGGAGGCTGAGGTGGGTGGATCGGTCAGGAGTTTGAGACCAGCCTGGGCCACATGGCGAAATCCTGTCTCTACTAAAAATACAAAAAATTATCCAGGCATGGTGGTACGTGCCTGTGGTCCCAGCTACTTGGGAGGCTGAGGTGGGTGGATCACTTGAGGTCAGAAATTCGAGACAGCTTGGCTAATATGTTGAAACCACGTCGCTACTAGAAATACAAAAATTAGCCAGGCGTGGTGGTGAGTGCCTGTAGCTCCAGCTACTTTGGAGGCTTAGGTGAGAGGATCACTTGAACCCAGGAGGCAGAGTTTGCAGTGAGCCGAGATCATGCCACTGCGCTCCAGCCTGGGTGACAGAGCAAGACTCCATCTCAGAAAAACAAACAAAACAAAACAAAACAAAACTAGAGAACATTATGTATAATTTGTGGTGTTATTTTCTCTAAGTGTAAATACATGCATTTTAAGTATCTTGAAATACCTCTGAGGCTGTACACCGAACAGAATGATGGAAGGGGGTCAGCCAGTAGGCTTTTGTAAAACAAAAGCCAAAATATGCCTTTTTGAGATAACCTTTCCTTTCATTCCATTCCTGTTGACTCAGTTCTGCACTAGCTTACTTGTGCAAGAAAGTTCCTTTTTTTTCCTCTTTTCTTCCCCTCACTTCATCTGCTTAGTGACTTCCCAGTCTTGCTTTCATTGTCTCCTTGCTGAGTTTAGCATTTAAAAGGGCTCTCTGTTGGACTAATTGACTTTGCGCCTTGCTCATAAGTCCTTCTGTAATATGTCCTTTTACCTTTTCAATGCCATTCCTTATGACTCCCTAATACAGTCTCTAGACTATTCTGTTCCTGTCCCCTATACACGCCATGTCATTTTTCTGTTGCAGATATTTATTTAGAGTCCCATCTGCAGAAAACACCCTTTAACTTACATAATTGTCTCCCTTCCTGTAGTACTTAGTTTTATCCAAGAGAAAACTTGGATTTGGGTTAATGAAATATATAATTATTTCATTGGCATATTTAAAGACTGTGTAATAGTCTGTAAATAAATAGCATTGTTGTTCAAGTGTACATTTTTCAAAGTACGTGTCAGACATTCTTTTCTAATGTTTTCAGAAATTTTGGAAATGATTGGTTAAAAATAAATGCCTAGAATGCACAGCATCCTGAAAAACAAGACTGCATGGAGTACCTTCTGTGTGTCCACCAGTCTGACAGAAAACTCTTCTATAAAGACCCCCTGGGGCCGGGCATGGTGACTCATGCCTGTAATCCCAGCAATTTGGGCAGCCGAGGCGGGCGGGTCACTTGATACCAGAAGTCTGAGACCAGCCTGGCCAACATGGCTGTACTAAAAACACATCTCTACTAAAAACACAAAAATTGACTGGGTGTGGTGGCATGCCTATGGTCCCAGCTACTTGGGAGGCTGAGGCGGGAGAATCACTTGAACCCAGGAAGCAGAGGTTGCAGTGAGCCAAGATGGCGCCACTGCACTCCAGCCTGGGCAACAGAGTGAGACTCTGTCTCAAAAAAACAAACAAACAGAAGAAAAACCACACAAAAAAACCTTTTGGTAATTTCTTTGGATAGGTTTTAGTTTTTTAGAGAGCATAAATCCAAATCCATTCATTTCCGTAAAACATCAGACACAATTTGGTGTGTATTTGGCCACCAAATATGGTGCAAAAATTTATGTAGTCTGGAGATACTTAAAAGCAACACAGGTGCGACTGTACCTTTCTGCAGTCAGCACAGTAGTGGCAATTTCAGGTGGTGACACAAAAGGTTGGGCAATAGTTGAAAAGTGGGTGACATGAAATGTGGTGGTGGGATGGGGGCAGGAAGCCGATGTTAAGCTGGTGAACTTTACTTTGCTTCTAGCTTCCAGTGACCCAAAATCACCTCGTCTAGAGTAGGGCTCAGGAATTTGCAGTTTTAAAAGCAACTCTAGATGATTCTGGTGTACAAGTTTGGGAAACAGTGGCTTGAACCTGATATTTTCTCTGAACTCTTGTCGTTTTCCTTAGATTTTTCTTTTGGCTTTGATTTCTCTGTCTGATTCTTGTCTCATTACACTAGCACTTCTTCCTAATTTGACAAGAAAGCCTAATTTGACAATTAAGGCTTGCTTAATTGTCAAGGCTAATTTGACAAGACTCTTCTTTTACTGTCTTATTTGACTTTTGCTATGAGAATCTGCTTCTTTCTTAGACTTAAGTGTATGATAAATTATTCATGACCAAGGGCCTTGTTTTTCTTTCATTAGCATGGGATTTAGTGGCTTATCTCATGTTACAGGATTTAGAGAGTTGATACTACATTTAAATTTTTTGTTAAGAAATGTGTACATCTTCTTTCTTACTTAGGTATTTTTCCTGTTTGAGGGACATGGTTTGCAAAGGTCAGATTGAATGAGCCTCATAGTTTTTGTCAAAAGAGAATATTGATGTACATCTGAATAATCAGAACGTTCATATTAAGGCATACTATATAGCCATTTAAAAGAATGACGATTATATAAAAGACTGTTGTGAAAGTCTATAATACATAGCTGAATAACAAAATAGATTATAGAACAGTAGGTAAAAATGAGCTTATTTTTGTCTAAGCCACTTCCCCCCAAAAACATGCAAAATTATAGCTATTAATCTGTATGTGTACAGATAAAGGTCTTCAAGGATATAAAATAAATTCTAATTATGATATTTATTATCTTAATATACAATAATAAGTTTATTATAATTATACATGTTTTCCTCTGAGGAAATGGATTGCAGATGATGATTGAAGGGATTTTCAATTTTTATTTGTATATTTTTGTATTTGAATTTCTAAATAAGCATATGATTCTGTTTAAAAATTCCGAATATACTGATTTTTTAAATGTGATGTGATATCCAGATATGTATTTAATTCTTCCTATAAAATATCATTTCCTTAAATCTAGGCTATTGGAAAAGGAGAAAAGTACTAGGAATTTAGAGAACTTACTGCCTGTTAGAACCAAGGAGAACAAGAAAAGCTTTAGCTAGTGTTTTGGAAACAGTAGCAGCTCCCACTCACAGCAGTAGCTGATGCACTCAGGTGACTCTCTGCACATGCTTTTGCTTCCTTTGGGTTGTTTGGTCCGCAGTTTGCATTCATCGATCAGTGAGTTGATTCAGACTCAAACCCACCGACAGCAATGAATGTTGAGTGCAGCCATCAGTGTTTTCAGTTGGTGGGGTTGCCTTTGCCCTCCCTGACTCCTGGCTCTTCTTTTCCATCTCAGTTATTTGAAATCTGTGTTTCTGGCTTCTCCCTTAGTAACCAGCTACCTGCATGATTGAAGGCCTACATAAGTATCCATAACATTGACATTGGAGCTGGGAGGTTATTGCAGATGAGGAAACTGTGGTTCAGAGAAGGAAGGAGAACTTGGAGAACCTCACAGGTAGCACTGCGACACACAGGCAACACTTGCGTATTAGTACCTATAAACCACAGCTGAGGGACCTGCTTTTCCTCTCTGTTTTAAACCGAGAAGTATGAGTGCTTTTTCGAGGTAAATTAGCAGATTATGTTGGAGTTTAATAATAACAGCTTACATATATTGAGCATTTGCTCTGGGCTAGTAATGGCACAAAGCACCTCATATATTATCTCATTGGATCTCAAAACTCCATGATAGGTACTCTTAGCCTCTGTTTTATATGTGAGAAAACAGAGACACTTGCTTAGGGGGTCAAACAACTAGTTAAGGGGTTGAGCCAAGATTCATCCCAGATCTGACCGACGCCAGGGCTAACTTTTTGCTTGAATTTAGCAAACATTTAAATAAGCATATGTGGGGATATGTGGGCATAGCTCATGCTCTAACTGGGATATCAAAAGTTAACCATATTAACGCTAATTCAAAGTGAAATTTGATAAGAACTGTCACAACTGGATAATTTTGTGCTATTTTTGCTTATTAAATCCTCCCCTTGCCCCTAATTAAAAATTTTGAGAGGATGTGGGAGAAATGGGAGTAATTATTTAACTAGATTTTATTCCAAAACAAAATACGTATTTTAAATAAATTTTTACTTGCTACATCCTGTTTCTCACCAGAATGGTGCATATCTAGGAGACAGTTAAGTACATTAGATATCATCATGGACTGCTCCTTACCTTGTTGAAATGAAATACTTTTTTGTAAAAACAAACAAAAAAACCCACACAACAGAAAGCAAGGAACAGTGAGCAATAGGAATAAATTTCACTGGACCACATTTGGGGGATTGCAGGACCATTTCTGGTGAACTCATGTGACATGTGAAGGTACAACTTGCTCTTTTGCTTCAGGAAATGTAGTGTCGTCTGTAAGGACCCCGAGGTACAGTCAACGGTCAGTGGTTTTTTCAAATCCCAAACTCACCGACAGCGTTGAATGTTCCTTGGAGTCCTCTGAAGGCTGGCCTGATAGCCCTTCTTCGTTCTCCCATCCACATTCCAAGAACCAGTGAGCAGTGAGACCACTGCTACTGGAGGCTCTCATGTTCCTCTCTGGGTTTCAAGTCGAGAGTATTTAAATTATAAAATCGATTTGTGTACAGCAGAGAACTAATAAACTGTGGGATAGACTCTGTAGTAATTTATACAAGCAGACTTGAATGTCTGAGAAAATGTCTTTGAATGGTACTATTTTGTGATTCTAAAAATGTAAAATACCTGATTTTCCAGTAGTATTTTAATTGTTAAAGAACAGGGGTAAGAAATTAACATATATTGGGGATCTGCTATGTGCTAGGATTTGTATGTTTTATCTTATTAAATTCTCAACAACCCACATTTTCCTGATGAAAAAACTTGAGATGAAGTGATTTGCCTAAAGTTACATTGCCAGGAGCCAAGGTTATAAGCCAGAACATGAATACTGGACTTCATGTTTCCGGTGTTCACTGATCATACTGCTTCTCTTGTCTACTACAGAACTTGCTGTTGATATCTGGGAGTAGAACCATCACTGCAGAGCCAAAGTCAATATGTAAATTTCTTCTACTTGTTTGCCTATAATAATAGCAGGTAGGTCTGTAGGTGAGGTCATAGGGGAAGATGAAAAAACTCAACCTCCATGATTGATGATCTCCTTTGCTGAGATCCTGCGTTACTAAAGTTGCCACAGAGGTGTTAGTGATAGTCCACAAGCTATTTTCCATATTGAAAAAGCAAAAAACAAAACAAAAACCCACTTAAAGCTCGCATTTCTTCTTAGTTGAGAACACAGAGTATAACTAAAATGTCAGATGCCATTTGTTCTGGCTGAAAGGGTACCAGTACATTATAGGACTAGTGGTTATTTTTGATTCTGTTGAATGTCTGTGATGAAAAATCTGAAAAATGAATTAATAATATGAATCTTCAGAATATGTGATTTACAATGGGATGGATCTAGGAATACTTAATAGGAAAAGGGCTTACAGAACTGCTTGCTGAATTGAGGTTAATCTCCAATCGGGGATAGTTATTACTATTTGCTTTAGGTTTAAATACTAAAGGCTGACTGGTCTCAAATTCATTTTTAAAGCAGCCAAATGGTACACATTAAAAGAGAATATATCAACCACTGAGATTTAGGTTTGAATGTAAACTGTTTACCTTCTGCATCAGCTTAATTCACCCTCTGTCAAAACTCTGCATTAGCCAGCTTTGTTGAGTTTTCAGTGTTATGACAGTAAATTGTATACACACACAAAAAAATCAGGCAACTGTATCTGTGTAATATGTTTAAAACTTTTTAATGGGTTTATTTTAAAAAGTCTTCCTCTTGGTCCAATAATATAAAGAGATGTCAAGCCTTATACTATTTGGATAAATATTTAGACTTTAAAAAAATACTGATTTTGACTTCACCAAACCTTCAGATGCTTACAAAATATTATTCCTTAAATTCATAGCATTCTAAAAAGAATGCTTTTCACAGACTTGGAAAAACTACAGAAAGGTAGGTTTCTGGAATGACATAGGGGCGTTGCCCACTGTATTTGAAATAATTGTCTATCATGGCATAATGACCTCCATCACCCTCATTCCTTTAAGTTCTTTAGTTTTTATCAAGCAAGTTTGAGCACACATTTGGGTTTTTTTAGTGAGTTTGGCTAAGGGGTTTGTATACTGAGTGCAAGGATAAAGTCTAAGGGTTAAAAAAAAGTTAAGGGTTAAATTAGCTAAGAGTGACCAGGCAGGCTCGCACATGTAATCCCAGCACTTTTGGAGGCTGAGGTGGGAGGATTCCTTAAGCCCAGGAGTTTGAAGTTAGAGTGAGCTGTGATCCACCACTGCACTCCAGCCTGGGTGACAGAGTGAGAATCTGTCTCTAAAAAAAATGAACAGTTATATAGGCTGACATTTAACAAGCCAATCCAACTGTTTAACTCTTGATTTAGACTGGTTTTGAATTTGTTAGAACTCACTATGCCATTTCTTCATCATTTCACTTACCTCCTTTCTTTTTCCAGAGATACCATGAGATATTGAAACCCACATGTCTCCAACATGGGGATGTAAGTGTTTTCATAGTCTTCCTGGGACTTCTTGATATACTTGGAAGAAATAAGAAGCATAAACTCAATAAAACAATGTATTTGGATGATTAGTAGCGTGTTTGCTTTGGCAGCACATGTATTAAAATTGAATGATTAGGAGCTGATAGAAGAGGAGTCATTGTCTCAGGTGCTGTCTGCCTAGGCATTTCCCGAGCACTGTGCAGGGAGCATCACTAGAAGCGTTTGGGGATAATGCTGCTAACTTTGAGGATAAATTCTTAAGTTATGAAGGTAACAACAGCATGTCAGTGTGAATTCATGTTTCTTTTTGCCAAACTGTGCTAGTTTTCTGATTCATCCTTTTACTGATTCGGCGGTAGAATCCTAGGGATTGTTTTTCCTGTATATAACGCTTGCCATCATGGAGCCCCGTATCTGACTAGGGAGCTGCACATAAATACAACTGATGACAAAGAGGATGCCTGGTGGAAGGTGTGAACTACATTAAGGGAGAACAGAGAAAAGAGGAGTTAATTCTGCCTACAAGTGCCAGGAAAGGTATATCTAAGTAGGTTAACCTGGTCTACACTTTAAAAGGTTAGTTGAATTTTTACTAGACAGAGTAAGGGAGCTAATTCCAATGGAAAACCATGCACAGGAAATCTTAGAGGCAGAAATGTTCACGTAATGGTGAGTAGTGAGGTTAACCTCTCAGAGTGTCAGTTAACTCATCTTTAAAATGTGAGACAAATAGTACTTGCCCTTCCTGCACACACAGCTGTGAAAATCAAATGAGGTTATGTACCTGAAAGAGCATGCAAATGTAATTGCTTCTCTTGTCTCCCATTGCTTTTGCTTCATATGTGCTAGAATAGAATAAAAGAAGTACCTTATTATAACAAACTTTTCCAAATTGGATGATTCTTTGGCCTTCTTGCTTTTTTCCCTTTAAAATGACCATAGTTAAAAATTTCATGTATTAAATGTTTGGAGAAGCAGTTTTTACAGCATAGTAAAGAGCATAGATTTTGGAGTCAGAATTGTGACTTTGAATTTTACTAGCTGTGTGATCTTTGAACAAATTACTTAACCTCTCCATTTCTTTGCTTACTTATCTATAAAATGGAGATTTATATGTTATTTCAAAAATATTTAAGTTGTTAAAATCATTTACAACTATTATTTCTATGTTAATAAATAAAATTGCATGTTTTCCCCAGTATTTGGCTTCTAGGCCATATATGCTAATATAAAAACCTGTTCTTTTATAGTTAAAACAATCTCTGACTAGCTGTTGTATGTGTATGTATATGTGTTTTAAGGACATATTTGAAATTAATGCTCTACCACTTTTTTGGTAAGGTTTTCATTTCCCATAACATTTTAGTTTCCTCAGTCTATAAACTGAGAATATTAGTACCTTCTTCATTGATTGTGAGGATTGAATTAGATAATATTATTTAAAACTCTCTGGAAAGCTATGGATTCTTTCCCTAAATACATGTACATAAACACATTTTGAAAGCTGTTTCAATTATGGAATCCAGGAACTCATTTATCACCTCCTTGGTGGATTTGTCTGTGAACTTCAGGTTAAGAAATTCTGACCATAGCTATAGAGCAAGATTTCTCAATCTAGTCTTGTCACTGATATGATGTTGCTTTTTTTGGAAGCCTTGGTCTCCATCTTGTCAGGAGTGGCTACTTGCCAGTAGCAGTGCATACTCTTGCCATCACTTTTCCCTGAAGCATAACCTATGTGGTATAGCCCAGTAGCAATGGTTCCAGGAAAAGTAACTATTTAGACTTCACTAAGTTCTGTACTAATTGCAGATACCAACCATTACGGTAACTCTGTGCTTATACAATTATAGTAGTCCCTTCTTATATGCGTTTTCGCTTTCTGTGGTTTCAGTTACTCTCAAAAATAGGTGAGTACAGTACAAGAAGATATTTTGAGAGAGAGACCACATTCACATAACTTTTTTTTTTTTTTTTAAAGACAGGATCTCTTGCTCTGTTGCCCAGGCTAAAGTACAGTGGTGCAGTCACAGCTCACTGTATCCTGAAACTCCTGGGCTCAAGTAATCCTCCTGCCTTAGCCTCCTGAGTAGCTAGAATTACAGGTGCATGCCACCATGCCTGGCTGATTTAGAAAATTTTTTTATAGAAGCAGGGTCTCACTATGTTCCCCAGGCTGGTCTCAAACTCCTGGCCTCAAACAGTCCTCCCACCTAGGCCTCCCAAAGTGGTGGGATTCCAGGCATGAGCCGCTGTGCCCAGCCAACTCATAGCATATTTGTTTTAATTGGTCCATTTTATTATCAGTTATTGTTACTGTATTACTGTGCCTAATTTATGAATTAAACTTTACCATAGGTATGTATGTATAGGCAGAAACATAATATATATGGAGTTGTGTATTATTCAAAGTTTCAAGAGTCTGCTGGGAGTCTTGGAACAAATCCCTTCTAAAAGAAATTGTCAAATGAGAAGTTACGCAAATATTTAAATGACTTTAGCTATCTTATTTTGCAAGTTTCCCATCTCCCCCCACTTTCCCAGCAACCATTTGGTTTGCATCTGATCCCAGCACTATGAGTACTGATTCTGGTTTTTAAGTTAGGCCAAAATAGTGTGTTGTTTTAATGTACTGGTCATAAAGGAGCCTGCTGAATCTACAGTGTTTACTTGAATGTTAGGAAGGAGAAAAAAAGAGAACCTCAAAGGTTAAGTTGTATATGGGATAATGGTCATTATTATATTTAGTCTGCTTAAGGTTTTACCAAGGAGTTGAGAGGTAGAATTAGAAATTTAAACTCAGTAGCTTGGAACATTTTAAAATTTTACATGGCAACTTTATATCAGATTACCTTAGCTGTTTGGGATGTCAGGGGCGCTGGGCATGGTGGCTCATGTATAATCCCAGCACTTTGGGAGCTGAGGCGGGGGTATCACTTGAGGCCAGGAGTTTGAAACCAGCCTGGGCAACATAGCAAGACCTTGTCTCTACCAATAAATAAATAAATAAATAAATAAATAAATAAATAAATAAATAAGCTGGTTGTGGTGGCCTGTGCCTGTAGTCCCAGCTACCTAGGAGGCTGAGGTGGAGGATTGCTTGAGTTCAGGAGTTTGAGGCTACAGTGAGCTCTAATCGTGCCGCCACTGCACTCTAGCCTGAGTGACAGAGTGTGACCTGACCTGATCTCTTAAAAGGAAGGAAAAAAAAAAAGAGGATGTGGACAGGCCAAGTAACTGAGATAGCAAATTGGCCTAGTGATAGGGCAGTATTTCTCTTCAAATGGGACGCATACTTAAAAGCCTTTCAAAGTATCTTGTCCTGGGACAGTGGCTCATGCCTGCAATCCCAGCACTTTAGGTGGCCAACGAGGGAGGTATTGCTTGAGCCCAGGATTTCAAGACCAGCCTGGGCAACATGGCAAGACCCCCATCTCTACAAAAAAATAAAAAATCAGCTGAGCATTGTGGTGTGTGCCTGTGGCTCCAGCTACTCAGGAGGCTGAAGCAGGAGGATCAGTTGAACCCAGGAGGTTGAGGCTGCAGTCAGCTGTGTTTCTGTCACTGCACTCCAGCCTGGGGAACACAGAGTGACCCTGTCTCAAAAAAAAAATTTTTTTTTAAAGAAGCATGTGATTTCTCCATCCCTTCGTTACAGTGACTTCACGTGCTTGAGGTATTGCTATTTTAGATTATTTTGCAAACCCGCAGGAAGCAGGACTCATTTTTTTTCATGGTAAATTAATTCACAGGATATTTGTAATCATTGAAAAACTCTTCTGAGTTACTCTACCAGGGATTGTTGTTCAAGTTAAGCTGAAATAATAAGTTGGGAATATAAAGCTGTAAAAGCAATAGGAACCAATATCATGCAGCAGGTGATTTTGATGGAAATTAAAGAATGAACTGGAGAGAATCTTGGTTTGTATTGTAGTGTGTGAAAAGTGTTGAACGAGATTTTAAAAGTTCTTTAAAGCCGATAGGCATGTGTTTTGCAACAACCAGTTGTGTTTTTTTTGTTTTTGTTTTGTTTTGTTTTTGAGACAGAGTCTCACTCTGTGGCCTAGGCTGGGGTACAGTGGCATGATCTCGGCTCACTGCAAGCTCTGCCTCCCAGGTTCACACCATTCTCCTGCCTCAGCCTCCCGAGTAACTGGGAACAACCAGTTAATGAAATAAATAAGAACAGTTACCAAAGAACTCAGTCTTTCCTTTTTTACAATTATGAAACACAGATGATGTATCAGTGATATAAGACTATTTCTTCCTCTGACTTATTTTTGTTTATTGGGTTAAATTTAATCATACAGTAATTTATACTTTAAAAACTTGAGCTCTGTTCTTACAAAGTTTATTATCACCTCAGGTAGAGTATAGATTTGTGTTAAGGCTTTGTAAGTTATTGGTAAGTAGACATCCATTTCATAACTGTTTTGAGTTATTCATAACAGGGAAAATGCCTTTCTTGGTTATTTCCAGCAAATAGTTGAATTTTTCCAAAATATGATGTCTTAAAACTTTTATTTTAAAATGTGTGTTTAGTCTCATGGTTTCCAAACCTGACTTTGCATCAGAATTAAAAGTGTAGGCTGGGCACAGTGGCTCACACCTGTAATCTCAGCACTTTGGGAGTCCACGGCAAGAGGATCACTTGGGCCCAGGAGTTTGAGACCAGCCAGGGCAACGTGGGGAGACCCCATCTCTACTAAAAATTAAAAAAATTAGCCCGGCACCGTGATGTGTGCCAGTAGTTCTAGCTACATAGGAGACTGAGGTGGCAGTATTGGCTTGAGCCCAATACTTGGTCAAGGCTGCAGTGAGCCGTGCTTGTGCAACTGCTCTCCAGCCTGGGTGACAGAGTGAGACCCTGTCTTCCCCAGTTCCTCCCAGAAAAAGTGGTAGTGATGGGAAATGTAGCCTGCTAAAAGTACAGATTCCTAGGCATCACCCCAGACTTAGTAAATCAGCTTTTCTAGGAGTAAATTATATATTTTTCAAAAGCATTCATATTATTCTGGTGCAGTAATTTTATGGACATTTGGGAATCTCTTATTTAGGCTAAAGATCTTAATTTAACAGATGAAGAAACAGATTTAGAAGGGAAATGAAGATTCTGAGTCACACAGCAGGGTCAGAATTGAAATCTACATGTATGTGTGTTTATCATAATTATACCACGCTGTCTCTCCATCATGAAAAAGAATTTTTTTTTCCGCAGTAGTTTCCTATTGGCCATCTGCAAGATAGATAGCCTTCAAGTCAAAATCTGCCTGATGGGTCAAACATCTTAGCCCCAGGGATGTGCCCAAAACTATTGTAAATGGACCAATGACTTGGATTTGGTCGGCTTTCCTGAAGCATTTAACTAAGTAAGCAATGCTGAGTGGTGTTGGCGTAAAATCTGTCCATGGTATGAAATGAGAAATAGCTATAAAGTGATCTAAACTCTGTGACGGTCCTCCAGGGTCTGACATTTATCAGCTGCTGCTACACTTTACCGCTTTTCTTTAATCAAAGGTGACTACCACTGGATGGAAGATGCTCGAGGAATCCCTGGCTGCTCTCTGGGGAGGAATTTATTTTAATTGCCAGTGAGAAGGTAGGAATTATTTTAATAGAGATCAAGAACCTCCTAATCCACTTCAGCTTGGGCTCCTGGCCAAGTGTCCATCCTCGGGAGAGAGCTGGTATCAGCTGCTACCTTGTGTCTTGAAGGTGTTTCAGAAAAGCCGAAGGCATTACAGAAGCCTTTCCTGAGTTGGCAGGCAAGAGTGGCACCAGGAATCAAGGGCTGACACATGTCATCAGCCTGAAGAAAGTAGAGCTTGGACACTAATAATGGCTCTTGTCAACACTCAGTGTCATAAAGCCAGGAGGACTTGGGTTGGGGGTTAGTTTGCATAGGCAGGGAGTTAGAGCTTAGAGAACATCTGCCAAGAGTTTTCACTATCCCGGCTGTTGGTGATGTATCCTTCATCCTTGACTTCTGTCACTCCTTTTTAATGGGTCATGGTAGAGTTGCAGATGGGTAAGGAAGAGAGGCAGCTTGGTCATACCTAGCACATCTCCCTATTTGCTTATTTTCTTGCTGTCTGTGTAGAACTAAATTTGTATGGCCATACTCCAGGCTGGTGTTTTGTTCTGTCTGTATTTTAAGGCACACTGGACAAGAGTCACAGGTGCTCTATTTCAATAAATGCCACATTGCTAGTATCCACACAAATGTTTTGATTGGCAGTTGTGAGACTTTTTTGCTAATACATCTATTAGAAGTATTGTTTTCAAATCCTGGTTCTGCCATTTAGTAACCGTGTGACTTTTGGCAAGTGGTTTATCCTTGTAAAAAAGTAAAAGTGGTTTTTCATCTGTAAAATGAAGGTTAATAAGTAATTGTATTTATTTTTATTTTTTTAGTTTTGAGATGGAGTTTCACTCTTGTTGCCCAAGCTGGAGTGCAATGGTGCGATCTTGGCTCACTGCAACCTCCGCCTCCTGGGTTCAAGTGATTTTCCTGCCTCAGCCTCCTGAGTAGCTGGGATTACAGGTGCCTGCCACCATGCCCATCTAATTTTTGTATCTTTAATAGAGACGGGGTTTCACCATGTTGACCAGGCTGGTCTCAAACTCCTGACCTCAGGTGATCCACCTGCCTTGGCCTCCCAAAGTGCTGGGATTACAGGCGTGAGCCACCACACCCAGCAGCAATTGTGTTTATATCAGAGTGGTGAGAATTAAGTGAGAGCAGGAATGTAAAAACACCTGGCATATAATATTCAAATTTGTTACTACTATTATTATAATTACTTGACCAAACTTCCAGCTTATTGTAAAGAATGGAACAAGGGGTTTCTAAATTATTGTCTTAGTAAGCAGAGGAATTGTGGTTTAGAAAGAACATAAAATTGAAGTCAGGAGATCCAAATTCAAGTCTTTTCTTTCTTTTTTCTTTTCTTTTTTTTTTTTTTGAGGCAGGGTCTCTCTCTGGCCCAGGCTGGAGTGCAGTGGCGTGATTCCAGCTCACTGCAGCCTCAACCTCCTGAGCTCAAGTGATCCTCCCACCTCAGCTTCCTAAGTTACTGGGACCACAGGTATGCACCACCACGTCTAATTTTTTAATTTTTTGCAGAGATGGGGTCTCATTATGCTGCCTAGACTGGTCTTGAGCTCCTGGACTCAAGCGATCCTTCCACCTCAGCTTCCCAGAATGCTGGGATTATAGTCGTGAGCCACTGTGCCAGGCCTTGGATTCAAGTCTTGACTGTGCTATATGTTACTTCAATCTCCATACTTTTTCATAAAAAATTATACCGGCCCAAACCAAACAGAATCAGGACCCGTAAGATCTCTTGCCACACAAAGAAAGAATCATTGTCCATAGAGCAATGTTTTTCAAACTTTCTGGTCCCTTTACATTCATAAAAATTATTGAGATTCCCAAGAGCTTTTATTTATGTGGGCTATAACTACTTTCTAGAAATTAAACAGAGAAACTTAAAAATATTTTAATTCATTTAAAGATTAAATAAAAATGATAAACCATTATATATTAATATAAGTAATATTTTAAAATAAAGCTGTAAAAATAGCTATATATTTTTTTAGTTGGTGAGAAGAATGACATTGTTTTACATTTTTGTAGATCTGTTTAATGTCTGACTTCATAAAGGACAGCTGAATTCTCATATCTGCATATATTTGTTGCAGTATATTGTTTGGGTTAAAGTATGCAAAGAAATTCTGGTTTTATGTAGTTATATAGAAAAAAGATTTTTTTATAGTCACTTCAGACAATTTTGCATATTCTTTCTTGTGATACTGTACTAGATCTTAATACTTGGTAGTTTAAAGGTTAGTTGCGGCCGGGTGCGGTGGCTCACGCCTGTAATCCCAGCAGTTTGGGAGACTGAGGCGGGTGGATCATCTGAGGTCAGGAGTTCGAGACTGGCCGACATGGTGAAACCCTGTCTCTACTAAAAATACAAAAAAAAAAAATTAGCCAGGCGTGGTGGTGGGCGCCTGTAATCCCAGCTACTCGGGAGGCTGAGGCAGGAGAATGGCTTGAACCCAGGAGGTGGAGGTTGCAGTGAGCCAAGATCCCACCATTGCACTCCAGCCTGGGCAACAAGAGCAAAACTTGCTCTGAAAAAAAAAAAAAAAAGTTGCAGTATGGAATCAGAAACTGTATCAATGAACTTTTCATACTCGATTTTATTATAATTCATTTGTCTATCATGCATTTTTCATGGATCTTTTACCCAAGCATGATTTTGTGACATCATACATTGGTCATTTGGAAACTACTTGTTCACTGAGTTATGCAGATTTTCTAAATATTGACACATTTCATAATATCAAAAAATTAAGTTTGTAAATATCATTGAACTCATCAGATATATCTTTAAATATCTGGAACCTGTGAAGCTCACAGTGACAGATAAAAATTTCCCAAAATTCTAATTTTGGCTTAAAAGCTCAAATGTTGGACTGAGTGTGGTGGCTCACGCCTGTAATCCCAGCACTTTGGGAGGCCAAGGTGTGCAGATCACAAGGTCAGTAGTTCAAGACCAGCCTGGCCAACATAAAATTTTTCTGCTAAAAATACAAAAATTAGCTGAGTGTGGTGGCACGCACCTGTAGTCCTAGCTACTCAGGAGACTGAGGCAGGAGAATCACTTGAACCCTTAAGGTGGAGGTTGCAGTGAGCCGAGACCATACCATTGCACTCCCGCCTGGGTGACAGAGTGAGACTTCATCTCAAAAAAAAAAAAAAAAAAGCGCAAATGTTATCATTGGCAACAAATACTGTCACTTGTTTTCCTTGAAGTGACATGCTGACTCTGTTCATTTTCAAGAAAATATCTGTCAGATACCCAAGTGTGAATAACCACATTTGTTTAGTGTAAGTAAAATGATAGTCAGTGAAAACAATGGGCTAGTTCAGCTTACAACGTAAACAGTAACTCCAGTGCTGCTTCTTGAAGCAGCCAGTGTGCAGAAGTGCTTTATGTGTACCTACTGTTTTGTCACACAAAATATTTTAAAAGATGTTTGCTCAGGGTCAAGATTTAATAAAATCACTAAATCTTACTGCTTCATCAAGGACATTATTAAGTTAAAATGGCTTTCCGTCTTTTTTTCTGTAGTGTGTGACAGTGACAAATACAGTGACTACTGGTAATTTTGGTGCCACTACTTAATTACTGCCAAGGGCAGCAGTTTAACCCAGCATTGACTTTGCACCATCATTACAAATGTCAACATAGTGAAAAAGGCAAATAATGTCTTAGAGTTAGTATGGAAATAGTTTTGACTTTTCAGACTCCCAGAAAGAGTCTGGGAGACATATATGGGCCATACTTTGAGAACCACTGCTTTGGAGTTCAAATGTTAGGAAACTCTAGGCAAATGGTGGGAAACTCCCATAGTCCCTTCAGAGCTAACATTCATGGCTGCAGTGGGCTATAGGAGAGGAGACAAACCCTGCATTGTTTTGGCATCCCCCTGCAGCTTTGCCATGGTATTTAAGGGCTCGTTTGCACAATGGAGCTCAATAAAGGTTGGTCTCTCAATGCTTATTGCCGAAGTATTTAGCAACTTAATTTTTCCTGTGTACTTTATACACCGTTTTTTTGTGTGTTCACATTGTAAACTATGTATTTTCTGAGTCTCACTGATCCCTCTGCTCAAGGTTATCTTTTTATAATGAAGTCAGTTCAGTTTATTTAATAGATATTGATTGGACAATATTGTTACTATGTGGGTTTTATTCTGGTGGTGGGGGAATAAGAAGTAAATCACATGGCATTTGCTTTTTTATGGTTTTGGGAAAATGAGCAGTACACAGCATGCTAAACAGTGTCCAGATGCAGAGGTTAATAGTGCCTGGTGCAGGGTTCAGCATTTAGTAGCTATTTGTAATAAATAGCTCCTGTTTTGGAACATTCTTCCAGTGTCACACATCATGATCTACTTATACGTACATAAACACACACACGTGTGTGTGTATATGTATACACACACAGACACATAAACACATCAACTATAATTATATGTAATATATAACTCGTAATTTCCTTTTGAGATATAAATAATCACCCTATACTCTTGTCTGTTTTGGAAGTTGCAGTAGGCATCCATAATTTTGGTGGGTGTTAGGTCTTTTTTCAAACTCTTACTTTTTTTTTTTTTTTGAGATGGAATCTCTCTCTGTTGTCCAGGCTGGAGTGTAGTGGTGTGATCTTGGCTCACTGCAACCTCCACCTCCCTGGTTCAAGCTATCCTCCTACCTTAGCCTCCCATGTAGCTGAGATTACAGGCTTTCACCACCATGACCGGCTAATTTTTTTTTGTATTTTTAGTAGAGATGGGGTTTTACCATGTTGTCCAGGCTGATCTCGAACTCCTGACCTCAAGTGATCCACTGCCTTGGCCTCTCAAATTGCTGAGATTATTGGCATCAGCCACTGTGCCCAGCCTTTTTTCAAACTCTTAAGATTTGAAAAATGCTTTTGTTCATACTGCTAATGTTATACTGCAAGCAATTGTGTCATTGTTAAATGGTACCCTCCTTGGCTCCCTATAGATGGTTTTATGACAAGATAATCAGGGGGCAGGTGCGGACCTGCTGAGTTGAGTTGATACTACATTTAGTTTTTAGATTAAGGCAGATAGAAGAAAGTTATACAGGTCTAGCTTGCTAGTCGTTTTAACATAGGAAGTAGCCAGTTTGCAGCTTAACAAATCAGTTTGGAGAACAAAGCATCCATAAGATGTCAGTCACAATATAGCCAGTAACTGACAGGTGATTATCGATGTCTCCAAAATGAACACTGATCAGAAGCAACCAGTTATGAAAATTCCTCTATTTTTGTACAGTCGCTGTGAGATTAACTTCAAGAATAACAGGTATATAAGGAACTAACTACAAATACCTAGCTAGTATCTTGAATGGGAACTTGAGGTGAGGATAGAGGACAGAGAGTTGTAAGTTCTTTATAAGCCACATGCAAAATGGGGACCTTTTCTTTCTTTTGTTTTTAGAGACAGGGGTCTTGCTGCGTTGCTTAGGCTAGTTTCTAAGCAGTCCTCCTGCCTCAGCCTCGTGAGTAGCTGAGATTATAGGCACGAACCACCGGGGCCACCTGCCTTTTCTTCCTAGAATGCCCTCAGCATAACTTTTTTTCTTCTAGAAAGTTCTTAGGACTGGGTCCCTCCCCTTTAGGGCTTTCTTACTACTTTCTTAAATTTGTGTTTCCTGAGTGAGGTCTTAACTAGGCTATATGAAAGCAAACTGATTAAAGGAATTTATCTAAATGTCCCGTTTGTAACTCATCCAGGGATATTCAGTTATATAAATGAACTAGAGAGAGTTTGGCTGTTAGAAGCAGATCCTTATTTGCGCCACTCCAGGATTTGGAAGTGAGGGGAGGGGGGAGCATTTCTCTCAAATCATAGCTTGGTCCAGGTAAGTCTGAGGAGGTGAGGAGGTAAGAACAGTAACAGCCTTTCTTTGTATTATCTTAAATGCTTCCAACAGCCTTTCTGATAAGGTGGTGGTTATTGCATTTGTTATTATACTTACATCTTCTGTCTCACTCCATTGTTCTCCAGTTGTCCCCAGAAGTGCTTGGTTTGCATGAGCATATCAGCAGTGGTGCACATTGCTAAATATGTCAGATCAGCTACGTTGTGTCCTTTGATTGAAATGCTAAGTTCTACAGTTAATGAAGGGTGATGATATGTACATTATTCAGACTTAGGGTGTTACTCCAAGAGAAAGTGGTGATTAGGGTTCTCTTTTAATTTGTGTGTATATACTGGGGCTAAGATCGTGCAGGAATCAGGCTCTTTTAGGAAGGTTGTCAGCATGGGAGCATGGCCTTAAAATGGTTGTGAACTTTAAAGAAAATGCAATTGGAATGGGATTTACTCAGATACTGACAGCCAATGAAAACATTTAGATTGAAATATTCAGCCAAATATTCTCTCAAAAATGATTTAGAAATCTATACTAATTACAGGCTTTTTTTTTTTTTTTTCCAAGAAACTGTATAGTGCATTTTCTTTAGGATTTGTTTAAGTCAAAATGAATCTCATGTTTCCCTTTGGTCTCTTTTACAGTAGCATTCTCAGTCTTCTGTCCCTTTAAAAATGTTAGGAAGCTTGTGTGCATTCTAAATTGTAAGGTCTTTTGTGTGTTACATAGACTTTCTCTGTTTCCTGGGGTCATTGTAGCCAAAATACTTATGATTGAAATAGACATTGGCAAACTATGAAGAAAACAGGAAAGTAAAAACTGGATTTGATTATTAATGGTAAAAGGAAAACCTAACGTGAAAAATATTACTCTCTGAGATTAGAATGGTTAAGTATGTTTTGGAGAGAAAGGTCATGAGGGAATCCTGTGGGCTGCAATAAATGTGTGTCCATAGCTTGATCTGGATAGTAGTTAACATCTGTAATACATATGAAAAAACTTCCATCAGACGTAAGATTTGTTTACCTTACCATATGTTAATTATACCTCAAAAGGTAAAATAAGGCTGAGCACAGTGGCTCATGCTTGTAATCCTAGCACTTTGGGAGGCTGAAGCTTGAGCTCAGGAGTTTCAAACTAGCATGGGCAACATGATGAAACCCCGTCTCTACCAAAAAAATTCAAAAATTAGCCAGTATGGTGGTGCACATCTGTAGTCCCAGCTACTTGTGGGGCTGAGGCAGGAGGATCACTTGAGCACGAGAGGTTGAGGCTGCAGTCAGCTGAGGCCAAGCCACCGCACTCCAGCCTAGGTGACAAAGTAAGACTCTGTCTCCAGAAAAAAGGAAACAGTAATAATTGTTTGGAAGTAAAGCTTGGTAGTTACTATACCATTTTGACAATTTTTATGAAAATTTGAAATATTTCATGATAGGAAAGATAATCCTATCACTCTAAACATGTCAAATTATATATCTAGTTTATGAGCAATAAGGCCTTTTTTTCTTTTCTTCTTTAACCTGTTATTTTTGAGATTTGGAATTTTTGTTTTTCTTGGATGCCACTGGAGGGAAATAGAGAATGAAGTCTTGTTTTTGTGGTATTAATTGTTGAAAGGGGACAAACGCAGTTTTTTGTTTTTTTTTGTTTTGTTTTGTTCTGTTTTGAGACGGAGTTTTGCTGTGTCGCCCAGGCTGGAGTACAGTGGCCAGATCTCAGCTCACTGCAAGCTCTGCCTCCTGGGTTCATGCCATTCTCCTGCCTCAGCCTCCCAAGTAGCTGGGACTACAGGCGCCTGCCACCACGCCCGGCTAATTTTTTTTTGTATTTTAGTAGAGACGGGGTTTCACCGTGTTAGCCAGGATGGTCTCGATCTCCTGACCTCATGATCCGCCTGTCTCGGCCTCCCAAAGTGCTGGGATTACAGGCTTGAGCCACCACGCCCGGCCACAAATGCAGTTTTGATCTTGAAACTAGCTTAAGTGTAAATTCTTTTTCAGTCTTGAATATGAGTGAAGTAAAGGTGACCACCTAGCTCTGTTAAGTATATGATTGCTCTAATCACCAATTTTAAAGGTTCTGTCGTTCGTAAGTTTGTCTAGTACTTATTGAGGACTTGCCATGTATCTGATATTGTGAGAAGAACTATCTCAAATGGTGACATTACTGTTTCATTTTGCATTTGAAGTTACTGAAGATCTGGATACTTAAGATTCCAATGTCAGAATATAAATAAGGTAATCATCACTCTATAAACTTACTCTTTATTGCCACAAATGGATTATCACTACTTTAAGAGAGATCCTGTTTTTGAAGTCTACTGTTTTATAAGTCTTTTTAGAGCTTGTACTAAGTGGCCTTTAAAAATCTCATAATAATTTCTAACACTTTCTTAATAACTTGGCAATATGGCTTTGTCCTTTAAAACAAAATCTGGAGGAAAGGGAAATATTTATTTCCCTGTGGCATGAAAAGAGGGTATATGTAGGTCATTTTTTTTTTTTTTTAATAAAAGGCAAGAAAGTCTCCCTCCAAACCACATCAGAACTATGCCAACTTGGTACGGGGCCCTTACCAGAGTAATGATGTAAGAATCTGAGAGTACATAGTGCAGCTGCCAAAGCTCACAATGTTTAATTTCAGCACTGTCTGTTTGCCAGAGTTTGCAGCTCAATATTTTTTTCTGTATGGATCAAATTATAATCACATATATTTATCTTATTGGTATAGGGGAAGTAAAGAGTTATTGTTTGATAAATTTGCTATTTTCCTAGGGAATGGTGCTGTTTTGCCTCTCACATGCTTCTGAGCATTATTTCCCCACTGATTCCTAAGAACTTATTCTCGTGGGTGAATTCTTCTAACTTGTGACACAGAGGGACAATTCACACCTTGCCTGTTTATTTTTATTTTTATTTTTTTTTTGAGACAGAGTCTTGCTCTGTCGCCCAGGCTGGAGTGCAGTGGCCAGATCTCAGCTCACTACAAGCTCCACCTCCCGGGTTTACGCCATTCTCCTGCCTCAGCCTCCCAAGTAGCTGGGACTACAGGCGCCCGCCACCTCACCCGGCTAGTTTTTTGTATTTTTTAGTAGAGACAGGGTTTCACCGTGTTAGCCGGGATGGTCTCGATCTCCTGACCTCGTGATTCGCCCGTCTCAGCCTCCCAAAGTGCTGGGATTACAGGCTTGAGCTGCTGTGCCCGGCCGCCTGTTTATATTTTGCAAGAAAACCCTTCTCTTAGCATAAGTACCTATTCAGGCAGTTCCATGTGCTACATTCCATCCATTTGCCAAGTCTTGGACTCTTATCCAAAGTACAGTGTTTGAATATACAGTTACACATACACATGCCGGCAAGAGCATACTTTTTCCTGCCCTCTCTCGGAGAAAGCTTGAAGCCAGAGAAGCAAATCCAGATGTTCTGGATTGAGTCTGGCACCTTCAATTGAGAATTCTAGATGGAAAGATTTCATTTGGAAGTGTACCAGGCTTGCCCAGCACTTGCTTCCTGTTGCTAACCATCATATTTTTATGACCAAAGATTCTAGACTGCCTCCTTTGCTGAGCAGAAAGAATTACACACTAGGGCCACATGGAAGTGGCTTCTCATCATTTGAGAGAAATATCAGCAGGCATGCAGAAGAGGGTAGCCTTGCTATTGGGAATAAATCTGGGTTGAGAGCAGGTGCAACTACAGCTGCAGCCCTTTAGCCAGACCTGGTTTTATTTAAATTTCAAATAGAAATCTTTGACATCAACCTAAGTGAACCATTATTGGCTGTCTGGCACCTAACAGTACCTTGTACAAGGAGGAGGTGCTCTCATACTGTATTCAGTCAACACTCACTGAACACCTTCTGTGTGTGCCAGGCAATGTGCTAAATGCTGGTGATGAATAAGGTAGTTTTTCAAGAAATTACTGTCTGGTAGGAGGCACAGACCCTTAGACAGATAAATTACAATTCACTGACTTTATTTGTTGCTTATGCAATTTAGTATTTTGTTTGCTTTGTAAGTCAGCAACATAAGGCTGGTCCACAGGATTAACTCCATAACTTTCTAAGTAAGAACAAGCATAGGATTTCCTTTCATTTCTAAAGAATGCTTACTTGCTTGCATGTTTGCATCTTTGGATACCTCTTCTGACTTGCCCAGGGATGAAGTTTGTGGAATATGGGAAGAAAAGACTAGTATAATGCAGGAAGGCATTTCTAAGAAAGCTTCCAGAATTGATTATTTTGTCCTAAGAGATGTTTTCTTCATCTGAAAAATATGTGAGAATGCACAAAGGTTAGCTGTGTTGGTTATCAGTTTGTTGTGAGGTAAGAGCAAGAAAAATTTTCCTCTCTCTCTCTGTAATGTAGGACACCTTTATCTGAGTGATTACATGGTTAAGGCAGACCTGGAAAATACATTTCCTTCATACCTGTTTCTGGATGGATGAGGTCACATTTACTTAGTAGTAATATAGTTCCTGTGTTGTAATTTGCTATTCCTTCAGCCTTTTTTCCTCCCATTTTTGAAGATGGGTATATGAATATTTCCATTGGGCCTCTCTTAAATGCAAGAAAAATATTAAGTTGCTTATGTCCAAATTCATTTCTTTGATGTAAAGCAGCCTCAAAGCATGTATACCTCTGTTATTAAGATAATAATAGTTAATATTTATATATATAGCACTTATGTTCCAGGTTTTATTTTTAGGACTTTATATATAAAGCACTTAAAAGAGGGCTTGTATTATCCCCACAACAACCCAGTAAGATAGATACTTATTATTTTTCCCATTTTACAGATGAAAATAGAAAGACACAGTAAGGGAAATAAATTGCCGAAGATCACACAGATACTAAGTGGCAGAGCCAGGATTTGAACTCAGGAAATCCAGCTTTATAGTGTTCTTAATTTCTGCACTGTACTATTTCATACTCAGTTTGACACTGAATGATACGGAGTTCCCAAAAAGTGTAGGGGATAACATTATCTACCATTGAGTGCCTCCTGTGTACCTAGGCATTGTATGTGTCATTTTGCTTCTTTACAATCTTATGGGTGTGTGAATTGGTCTCCCCATTTTACAGATGATAATATGATAATGTCAGCTAACATTTATGGAGCAGTTACTATGGGTCAGGCATTATAGTAAGTGGTTTACTTATATTATCTCATTTAATGTTGACAGTAGTTATGTGGATGATTATTCTCATTTTGGAAATGAGAAAACTGAAGCTAGAGAAAAGTCATTTGCTGAGGGTCACATAGCTAAGAAGGGACAGAGCTAAGATTTGAAGACAGATGCCAAGGTCTTAATTACCACCTAATATGTGGTGGAAAACAGTAATTAGCTAGAAATTCCAACAGTGAGGTGAATCTCAGAGGACAGAGCCTAGTTCCAAATCTTGTTCCTCATCCTTAATCCTCATATACTTGTTGATTAATCATTGTCCTTGCTTATCTTCTTTAGGTGCTCACAATAGAGAAAGTTGATAGGTGTCAGAGATGACCTTCTGGTCTGAAAATAGGAGATTTTTGTCTAACTGATGTCTTCATGAAACCATGCAGTTAGTGAACTTGTCTTTTATGAAAGCTTTAACTTTTTTCTTTAATTATATTCGCCCAGGATTCATTACTCTATAGATTTCTTTTTTATATCTTCACAGGGATTCCTAAAAGTCATAGTGGGGCATTTTTAAGCATCTATGATATTTATTTCTGCCTCAGCCTCCCGAGTAGCTAGGACTGCAGGCACATGCCACTGTACCCAGGTTGAGATTCTGGTTTTGAGGTATTGTACTTTAGTTTATTTTTCCTCCTTAGGATTGTAAATTTATTTTCTTTACCACCAGATATGGCAGTATTGTGTTGAAGTTTTTTTGTCTTTTAAATTATGGGCGTTTTATGGGAGAACCTTCATGTGTCTCACTGAGTCTCAGTAGTTGCGGTTAACTTTTTCTTGTCACCCAGCTGGAGTGCAGTGGTACAGTCATAGCTCACTGAACCACAACCTCAACCTCCTGGGCTCAAGTGATCCTCCCACATCAGCCTCCCAAGTAGATGGAACTACAGGCACATGCCACCATGCCTGGCTACTTTTTGTATTTTTTCTGGAGATGGAATTTTGCCATGTTGCCGAGGCTGATCTCAAACTCCTGGGCTCAAGCAGTCTGCTAGCCTTGGCCTCTCGAAGTGCTAAGATTACGGGCATGAGCTACTGCACCTGGCTCAGTTGTAGTTAACTCTTGAATCTTACGTGTCACTCACTCTTGGGCAAACACAGCCTAATCATTTCAGAAATGATTACGTTTTGTGTTCCCTCCCTTTCCCCAAGTGTCTTTTATTTTTCTGTCATTCTAGATTTTTCCTCTTCTTTCTCTCCAACCAATTGGTCGCTAAGATAATTATTAAGTCTGCCCCTCAAATACCTATCAGAATCTAGCTCAAGGTACTCAGCATCACTAGGTATCAGAGAAATGAAATTTTAAAAAAGGATATACCACTGCATACCCACCAGGCTGACATACAAATTGTTGTTGAAAACAAGTGGAACACTCAAATTCTGTTGGCAGAAGTGGTGTATAAATTGATACAAACCCTTTGAAACCTCTAGTAGCATCTGGGAAACTTGAACTTAAGCAATTCCATTTTTTTTTTTTTTTTTTTGAAACGGAGTCTCAGTCTGTTGCCCAGGCTGGAGTGCAGTGGCATGATCTCGGCTCACTGCAACCTCTGCCTCCCAGGGTCAAACGATTCTCCTGCCTCACCCTCCCAAGTAGCTGGGACTACAGGCGTGTGCCACCACACTCGGCTAATTTTTGTATTTTTAGTAGAGACGAGATTTCATTATGTTGGCCAGGCTGGTCTCGAACTCCTGACCTCATGGTCCACCCGCCTCAGCCTCCCAAAGTGCTGGGATTACGGGTGTGAGCCACTGTGCCCAGCCAAGCAATTCCATTTCTAGGCGTATACCCAACAAAAATGCATAACGTGTACACTGAAAGATATGTACAAGAATGTATATCATAGCATTATCTGTAATAGTTCCAAACTAGAAACAACTAAATATCCATCAATAGTAGAATGGACAGATAAGTGTGGGAGAATACATATAACGGAATACTGCACAGTAGTAATAAGGACACACCATCACAACATGCAGCAGCATGGTTGCATCTCCCATACAGGATGTTGAGGAAACGAAGTCAGGCACAAAATATTCCACAGTATGGGATTCTCTTTATATAAAGTTCAAAAATAGACAAAACTAGATGATAGAGATCAGAATAGTGGTTACCTTTATTGAGAGGATAAAATAGCTGGAGGGCACAAGGTTCTGAGGTGTTAGTAATGTTTTACATCGTGATTTAGATATTGGTTTCCTAGGTATGTTCACTTTGTAAACTGTTTGAGATGTGTGCACTTCACTGTATTTTTACACTTGAATAAAAAATTTTCTTTTAAGAAAAAGCTAGACAGCAACTGGGTTTAAAATTTTGAGGTAAAACATGGGACTCAAGTACTTGTGTTGAAATACCATCTCTAGTTAATGACTTGATGTTAGTCACTAAAGAGTGGCCTTAAAGAATGACTAATTCCTTTATATTTACATTTTCCTGTGTATTTACATTAGATAAACTTAGTTTATCTAATTAATAATACTTTTAGGCCAGGAGTAGGGTTGTGAGAAAGTTGATGAGGTTCCACTTTTTATTCTATAGTACTTCTTATATTTGAGTTATTTTTTAATTAATATTTTAAGCATGTTCCTTTTATAAAAGAGTAAATGTCTTTGGAGGAAATCTTTGGATGAAATATTAAGTACCATGACAAAGTAATACAGTAAGATATTTGGGGCCATGTGAAACCTTATGGTGCCTTACAAATCAGATACCATTTGGTGATAACTCATTTTATAACTCAGGAAAATAGCAGGAGATATTTTTCACAGGTTGAATAGAGCAAAATGTAAAACACACAAAAGCACTCCAGTTTGCATCTTTTTAAAAAAAATTGTGGATAAAGAATGTAAGAAATTTACTATCTTAACCTTTTAAAATATACAGTTCAGTAGTGTGTATTCACTTTGTTGTGCAACAGATCTCCAGAACTTCCAGAACTTTTTCACCTTGCAAAACTGAAATTCTGTATCCATTAAAACAACTCCCATTTCCCTCTTGTTCCAGCTCCTGGTAATCACCATTCTACTTTGTTTCTATGTATTTGACTACTTCAGATAGCTTATATAAGTAGAATCATACAGTATTTGTTGTTTTGTGATTTCATTTAGCATAATGTCGTCAAAATTCACTCATGTTGTAGCATGTGACAGCCCTTTGCATCTCTACTGCCACCACTGTGGTGAAAACCATTTTTTTTCATCTGAATAACTGCAGCGGCCCAAGTCGTCTCCTTGCTTCCAGTCTTCCCAGCTCTTATCTATCTTCTATCCAGTTGCTAAATGCAGATTTAACTCTGCTTGGCAACCTGATACCCTGACAGTCTTTAGATAAAAATCTAAATGCTTTAACCTGACATGGGCTTTTATTTTTGGGCCCCCAATATCCTACTGCTAAGCCACATCTTTTCCTCACTGCTGCTAAACACACCCTTTGTTTCATCCACTCTGTTTCTTCCCTGATCGTGCTGTTTCATGTCCCCAGTCACTGTTGACAGTGAATCATAAATGGATCATGACTTTTGCTGAAGCTGTGTTTGTCAGCTGCCTCTGCATGGAGCTAACCTGGAGACGTAATGTCAGAATATAATAATGTAGTACTAAGATAGACTTCTTATTCCCTAGCTTTTTAGACCTTTTCTCAACAGCTAAAAATAATCTGATCTGAAAATAGACAAATAAAAGAAATTCGAGAAATAGGTGTTTTGTTTTGTTTTTTGAAAGTGTCTCACTTGGTCTTTTAGGTTGGAGTACAATGGCCTGATAGCCCACTGCAGCCTCCAACTCCTGGGCTTGAGCCATCCTCCTGCTTCAGCCTCTCAAGTAGCTGGGACAGTAGGTGTGTGCCCTCACAGCTGGCTAATTTTTTGATTTTTTTTTTTTTTTTCCAGAGATGAGGTCTTGCTATGTTGGCTGGGCTGGTCTCAAACTCCTGGCCTCAAGCAGTCCTCCTGCCTCGGTCTCCCAAAGTGCTGTGATTACAGGCATGAACCACCCTGCCAGGCTGAGAACTATGTTGACCAAATTTATGTGAGGGGAAGGGTAGGGGGAAAATAGTATCTAAGTTTCTTATTTTAAAGTCTTTATTCTACTTGGCCCTTTAACAAATAAGACATAAGTTTCTCTAACTTGATGTAATCTTAATTCAGTAAGTATTTATCGAGGGCCTACTATACATGTTTATTCCTATGAGTCAAGAAAATAAGGCCGGGCACAGTGGCTCACCCCTGTAATTCCAGCACTTTGGAAGGCCGAGGTGGGTGGATCACCTGAGGTCAGGAGTTCGAGACTAGCCTGCTCAACATAGTGAAACCCCATCTCTACCAAAAATACAAAAATTAGCTGGGCATGGTGGTGCACACCCGTAATCCCAGCTACTCGAATTCCTCTTGACTATAGGTACTTGGGTAAACATTCCTTTGTGCTGGTAAGAGGCCATGCTAATGGACTCTATCCCATTTGATTGATTGCCTTTTTTCCTCCTCCCAAGAAATTTTGATATTTAAGTTGATTATTCATTGTCTTGAAATATTTTCCTTTTTCTAGCCACAGTCTGAGACATTTGATATTTCAACAGTTAGGCAGAGCAAATGTTCTGTGATATAAGAGGGCCACATTGTGAAGGTAATGAAGGCAGGATTTTTGAAGAAAGAACTCTTTCTGACAACTTTGAGTCTCTCAATAACTATTTGTTGAATAAATGCTATTTTTGGTTATTTGTTTACCTTGATAAGAATTTAAAGAATTTTCTGTTATATTTGGGAAACCAAAGTATATATCCATATTTAATACTGTTTGCTGACAAAAATTTGAAATAATTCAGACATAAAACATTAATTTTTGTGCATCTTAATTTATGAAGTGTTTTCAATGTCAGTTTTTTTCTTCAATGGTAAGAGTGATTCTTGATTCATTTCATCAGTTCCAATTAATGAAATACATCTATGAGAAGAATGTTTTGGTTTGTTTTTACTTCTGACATTTCTAGAACCTAGTAATATACTGTGTCCTGTTAGAGGGTTTTCAAGATTGCTATCAACTGCCTGGTATTTGTTAGGGATGTATAATTTGTCTTCTTAGGGAGATCCCTACTTATGTTTATTTCATTTTGAGTTTTCCTTTAAAACTCCCCTTTTTTTCTCTTTATTGAGTAAACAGAAACTGTATTATATTTGGGTAGCAGCTAATTATGTATAGCACATTCTCAGTGTTTGCGAGCTTAGGATGGGACAGGTACTGTCAGTCCCTGCTGGCAGGGATGTAAATTGGTCAGACCAAAAAAACTGTCAGAAATTTGGATAGTGATTTCTGTGTAAGTGTATTCATTGAATTAGTATTTATAGTAGAGAATAATTGGAAACCATCCAGATATCTACAAAAACCGTTTTTAGTGGCTTGAAAATATGCTTGTGAGTGAACAAATGATTGTGAAAAGTCAATGTTGAAAATGGATTCCATTGTGTATCAGCTGCACTGAGATACTAGTAAGGATTTTTTTTCTGTGAGTGAGATTATAGGTGACAAATTTTACTTTTTATGTTTTTCTATATTATATAAGTTTTCTGTGTATTACTTTATCAGTGTCATTTGTATAATGGCAGAAAAACTCCTAGTACAGTTGACCCTTGAATAACATGGATTTGAATCACGCAGGTCCACTTATATGTGGATATTTTTCAATAAATGTTACACTAAGTGTGCCTGCCTCTTCTGCCTCCCCTTCCGCCTCTTCTGCCACTCTTGTGACAGCAAGACCAACCCCTTCTCTTCCTCCTCCTCCTTGGCCTACTCAGTGTGAAGGCAGTGAGGATGAATATACTTCCCCTTAATGAATAGTAAATATATTTTGTCTTCCTTATGATTTTCTTAATAACATTTTCTTTTCTTGAG